CACTCCTGATTTTCTGTTTTATAAGTATTTGGTATTTGGTATCTTATTTCCATTTTTCTATCAATTTTTCCATCAGTAAAATTTAACTAGTAGTGATTTTCCAGGCTTCCAATAACAATTTTATTTTCCAATTGCTTCCTTTGCTATACTAAAACAAATAACTGCTATTGTCCTGCAGTCTTCATTAGTCTTTTACTTATTCCGGGCAGCAACAATGTAGATATTTCTTTTATTATTTCTAGTTCCTGGACATTCTTGCCTTTACATATTTTTGTTTACAGGAGAATATGTATGAATTGTAAGTCCTTTAGGACTATTAATACTGGGTATTTTAACAAATTGCCGAGTTAATTTTTCAAGCAATACATATACCTAACATTGCTGCAAAAGTTCACATGTAAATAAATACATTACTCACACCTATCCTTGCCTTATTTTTCTTACATACACAGTACAAATTTGCCTTTTCTGGCCTAGATCTTCAATAGCATAAGTCAAGAGGTCAAGGTTTAGCAACTATTGCACCAATTTGAGAAGCTGCTCTTCCTCCACCATTTTTGCCCAGATGATTCTAATTACACTATTGAAATCACTAGAAATATTAATGCATGTTAAACACATAAATATATCCAAATTAGTGAAGCTGAAAAGCTAGGAAACTTTCAAACATGAAAGATTTCTAGAACATCAGAAAAACAATTCCCAGACATATCCAGCATTTTATGTGCATCAATGAAATCTTCGTATGGTGCATTGAAGCATTTCAATTTTTTTAAAATCAGTTTTTCACACAGCTCCAATTTTCAAACATAGCTATGACTTAAAGGTATAATGAGAACTAGTTCCATATAAACACCATGAGCACAGTCTAGCGTGGAGCCTATCGTAATTAAGAGCAGTGATTCAATACCTATTGCTACTGGCCAGGTATCATAGCAACCTTGTGTCACTGAATACTGCTGGAAAACTGTTCAGCACTAGCAAGACTATGCTTCAGGAAAATCTACAATGGCACTACAGATTGTCAACATCTGTGGGGGTTGTTACAGGGCAAACAACAAAGAAATCTGCTTTTAAAAACCCCTTATGCTTAGAAAATTGACAGGGATACTACAGTGGCACTACAAAAAGGGAAACAAACCCAACCAAACACAAAGAGGAAGGAAAGACCATTTTTTTTGTCATTAGTTACATAACTTATGCACCTACATCCTAATATCCATCCTTATAAACTGAGAGTTGAAATAATGCTGCATTATCACATTGTTTATGTACATCCACAAAGTACTGTCTTCTTTTTAACCAAACACAAGCATCATTCATCACCAACATTAAACGAAAAATAAAACAGCCTCACTTTCAATACAATATTTAAACTTTCACAAATGAACTCTAGATAGTCTTGTATAAATCTGCAAAAAAAAAAAAAAGTAAAGAAAAAACAGGTTACTATGAACAAGAACCCAGTATTGATTTTTCTGCGGTGCAGTAAAGCATCTCCATTCTATTTGGCTGCTGTCAAAGCCACTCTTTAACAGCTGGAGTCAAATTGCACTATTTACAGCAAGAGCCCTTGTCAAGTGGACCATAAGTATTCTAACAATACACTATTCAAATGGCACTTTGCCACACAAATTGCTGACTTGATGAATACCCTATGTCAATGACTAAGGCCAATATAAAAGTTTCATTTTTATGAGAGATTTTACATTCACATATTAAGTAAAGCTTTCTTGAAGAACTATTAAGCTATATATTTTGGGTCTTTTGACATTCAAAATAATTAAAATCTGTTTAAATATATCAAGGGGATTTGACAACATTAATATGGATCTTGTGTTAACTGCATTTGTCACAGTCATCTGTTATTGGTACTCCCACTGGCACGTGCAGCACAATAAAAGAATTAAAATGGTCAAAACACCATGAAATCAAAACATTCTACTTTTGTATCTGTGATTTACATGATGACAAACGTTTTGAAAGAAAGCCTTTGAAGCTGGACTGCTATGTGAGGATATTTATCTTCTTTCTTCGAAGCATGGAGTAAAGAGACCATTACTTGGCAAATATTCTTTTGTCTAATATATAATATGAATGCAAACCAATGCCATAATAAATAGTAAGATGAAATGCTGAATCTTACTCGCCCTCTTCATGTGGATCATCTCATTGTACAAAATAAGGATCACTCAAGTGCAACAGCAAAAGGATAGACTAGCGACCCCCTCATTTTTTTGTTACATAAATCTTCTGAAATTAAATTCTTAAAAATATGCTAAAATTGATGACCTTGCATTTTTTGATAGAAATGTTATTAATAATTTAGTATGTTGTTAAATTTCTACTACACAATTTGCCAAGGAAGGAAATTGATAATGAAAAAGTCATTCTATATTAAAACCTTTTGATAATCTGAAAGTTTTGTGATAGTTTCATCTGTGTAGCCACTTTATGCTTAATAGTATGGTATGGAATGTTGAAGTCTGATACCTGCAGTCCTTTCAGCAATTTGAGGGGTTCTAAATTTCCAGAGTATGTTTCAATATGCTAAATTACAAGGACACAGACATCAATACAACACTTTTTGAAAAAAATGAAACAAGTTTCGTGCACTAAAACCAAAAAAAAACCAGCAGACTTCGTAACAAGCCTTCATTTCAGCAATAACAAAACAGTGCTAAAAAACTGTAGAGATCCACACTCCTTTTGTGTAGCCTGCATTGGGCTTCTGGAATAGCATTAAGGGGACCTCCATTGTTATATTTTTCCTAGGTTCATCAATGCTATATACATTTAGCCTCCAGCATCTCCCACACCAATCTACAGAACCTTCTCTAATGCAGATGGAAGTGGGAAGAAGCTCTGGATGTAATGGATGACACATTTTTGATGAATGAAAAGTGGTTTCCCAAGTATAGAACTACATTTATTAGGAAATTAGACTAAAATAACGGGTCTATAAGGGCAAAAATAGAATGTGAAATTAAGAAAAAATACTCTGAGAGACAGTCAAAGAGACATCAGTAATAGTCTCAATAAAAAGTTTTCATTGGGACAATGAACAATGTTTAAGCAAGAAAATGGAATATTGTATTGAGACAGCAAAGCAGCCAAGATGTAAATCTGATTAAAAAACGCCAAACAAACACTATAAATTATCATTACAATTCCACTGTTGCCTATTCTGATGTTACTTCCAATTTAAGATCATGACAATTCCCAAAGCATGTTAAACTCCACACTTGATAATTTATGGAACACTATTTTCCCCACATTCCATAAGCACTATGTTCTCTTCCCAGCCACTTTGTTAAATCCATGCAATTTTCAGTTTCATAGACATGCCTAAAATGACACTCCAAACACTACCAAAACTTTTTCTTTTGTTCCTATTTAGAAAACCAAGAAGAAACTATTCCTTTTAATAAACTAACAGGGAGATCAGGTTCTGTGTCAATGGCCAACTAGTGCACCATCTGCCCCACAACATGCTCAGCAGGATTACGCTCTAATAAGACTTTTCAGAAAATGGGATCAAAAAGAACTTTAGAAATCAGACCAAGGTTAGTAAAAGGTCAAAGAAAAATATTAAGAGTTAAACTGCAATTATTATAAACTCAAAGTTATATGTAAATTTGTAGATACAATGAAGAAAAGACCAGAAAATAAAATGCAAGAATGAGGATGTGGATTAAGCTGTACCTTATCAGATAATTTTGAGTTATCCAGTATTTCAGTTACTATAATTAACAAAGACAGAAAAAGGCCAGAGACAACTCAGAAGGCTGTTTCCACATGTGAGTTGAGGGAAAGCATTTTTCATCTTCAATACTTGTGGGAAGATAGTTTATATCTATATTGAGGGATGAGGAATAGCTGACACTACTTCCCTCTCTTCATGGTATTCATTCCAAAATCCATTAATTAATTAAAAAGTGGTAAGCAAGAACAACATGAAGGCACTATTTTTATGATACACTCCTATCATGAGCTCAGTGACTATATTAAATACTGATACATAAATAAGGTTTCTAAAACAGTTTGCACCATTATTTTCCATCCTGGAAGAGGCAATACTGAACTCATTGAATTCAAGCTTCTATTAAATTTGAGACAACTAGCAAATACAGGCTTTAAAAATACCTACAAATAACTGATCAAAATATAGATACATCTAGGCCACAAGAAAACAGACTATTGCATTTTCAGCCTTACTTCTCCTCATATGGTGCCACTGTACTCATTTTCTCAGCTTTAACAGCACATTAACACTAGTTTCAGTATGGTATTTCCTTCTATTATGTTTTCAAAACAAAAAGAGAAAGCACATCTTTTTCCATCAGTCACAATTATTTGGTGTAATGGCTTTTTTTAAAAAAAATGGTTTTAGATAAAGCTAAGTACAGTGCCTGGCCACATCTCTCCTGAGAACAGCAGCCCAGGATCTCACAAGGAACACCGCCATCCTCTTTTTAACCAATAAGGTGCCAGATTTAATCCCACTAGTATAAACATAAGGCACTTGCAGTCAATTCTGTGATAATGTTCACAAAAAACACACCCCAATAAAAACTACTATCGAGTGACAACAGGAATCTGTGGTCCCATAGAAAAGCAATAATGGAAAGGCCAGTAATATTGTATCATAATGTGCTTATTCTCAAGACATACACATTTGAACTGGTGGGTGCAATTGTTCTGAGGGTACTACTAACAGGTGCAGTCATAAGCTAGAGCCATCAGGAAATAGGATCTAAATACAGGTAATAAGTCTCTGAGAAAATCCTTTAGAGATGATCTATTGGTGAATTTGCACAAGGCACTCCCCCATTTCCTGTTTATGAAATGGGCTTGAAGGCATAAAAACTGAGTAAGTCAGAATAAGCCTTTATAAACTTAAAACCAAGCCACCATGCCACTTATACACAGCAGTGAAAGGGTAAAGAATTTTATCACAACTCATTGTTTTTGAGAAATGCTCTAGGCTTCATTCTTACCTTATCTGAAGATTTTTCTGTATGAGTAGGAGTGTAAGGGCCCACACCATGTTTATACAAGCTAGAGTGCTTGTATCCAGAATTCTTGTTTCTTTTTGGCTCCTCAGATACAGGAAGCTGAGCATCTGCCACTAAATATTCTGAATCTTCAATGGCACTAAGAATTGCTCTTGCTGTTTCGCCTGTTTCATGTCGTTCCAGTGTGCCTAGAGAAACACAACAGAAGCTGCAACTTTTTCAAGGAAGTACACTACTTCATATTTCTGTGCAAGTATTAACATAGTACACTTCATGTGAGCAAATAAATCATGAAACATTTACAGATGAGGCAACAAATTCCTCATTTTTTGGAGCTTAAAAAGGCAATTTTACACATGGGGCTATTCTACAGCACTGCTATTAAAAAAAAGAAAAGCTTAATTTCTAAATAAATCACTTCAGCAAATAACTGTTTGAGACCACAAGCAGCTTGAGACATTTTGTACAATGTGTGAAGCAAGATGCTTTGAAAGGAGCAAAGGATATTCACAGGAATATCTCAGGCTCTAACACAGTTCAAAACAGTCATTTGTTTTCATCTCAAAGCCCTCCCAGAGCACCTACATCATTAACAGTGTAAACAACAACACATTTATGTAATATTTTAGTGCTGTCCTCTAGTGTTCTAGATTATAAATAGCAAGAGAAAGTTCAAGTTTTTTCATGTCATTCCTAAAAATTGTCAGAGGTAAAGGTGGTTTATAAACACCTGAATATATATGTAGCTTAGTCACCAGGGACATGAATATAATGTTTCAGAGACAATTTCATCACTTGTTTCACTCTCGGGAATCCAATTCCTCTGTTGTACCCAGTTATATTATTTTAGTCAAAAAATTTATTTAGTAATAATTTTAACAATAGTACTTAACTTACAGCTAACATTAAAGATATCTAAACAGAGCTTAAATGTATTTGAAATAAGCTACTATTATATGCTCCACATTTCCTATAGGAATTAAAAGAAATTGCTGAAATAGCATGTTTCCTATAAATATCAGGGATAAAATACATCTGAAGGATTTTTCAAGTATTAAATATCAGCTATAACGTGAAATGTTTTTTCCCTTAAGTTTGAATTCTTTCTAGCCTCAAGTAATACAACATGAATTTTCCCTCTCACTGCAACAAGAAAAAATGTGTAACACTGAAGTTCTATCAGTAACACCTGCTAAAAATATTGGACTGGGATTGAGGGATCTCATAAGTGTTTGTGTGTATATGTGTGTATAAAATCTCTTTATCTGAAATTATTTCTCTGAAACTCATCCATTTCTCTTCACTATGGTATCACCTCTGTTACTCATATGTCAGAGTCTTTGAATTCTGAGCAGACGTAAGAACTGATTCTTTGTCCCCCACCAAAATCAGTTGAATACCACAGATTACTGGAATAGTGTACTGCAAAAAAATAAGGATCATCCCCCAGTTGTTTTTAATATGCTATTTTCTTAGTCCCTTCCCAGAGTTTGCAGTCAGTGTCAGCGATCATTACAGAACTGGGTATTTCCTGGAAGGAAAGTAAGTTGCCCAAAGGTCTTCATTGTTGGACTGTCTACAAATACTTGAAAAAAACTATACTGGCTACAAAGCTTCCAACTTCCCTAAAAAACATACTTGCTTGCCTGTAGTACCTAATTATGATCTCTGTGTGTGTGCATCTGTATGTACAGATTTGTGTACAGCTGGCCCTGAAATAAAAGGGCACAAAGTGCACAGGAAAATGAGTGTGATGAAGGGGGTAGGTGGGTGATCCTGAGAGAGTTGCAAAGCATTTTTGTTGCACTTATGAAGAGCCCAAAATACTCTTTCACAGAGCAAGTTGGTGGCAGAGACAAAATAAAGGAAGAGATCTGTGTTCTGTGATTGCTGAAAACATCTTTCAGAGAAACAAAAGGGGGGAGGGGGAATAAAAGGATTTAGAAACCAGTGTATATGACAAAGACTTTGTGGCCAATGCAAACAGTCAAAAGAATACCGAGACAGGGTGGTTATTATTCAGAAAGTTATTAGGTAGGAATACATTGCCTTTGATAGTAAAGGAAAATAAAAAAGAAGAGTAAGAAGAGACACAGCCTGTACATTAGGGTACAGTAACAAAAAAACCAAACAAACCAGAAATAAAGACAACTCTCAAACCTGAAGTATTTTAAACATAAATGAGCCCAGAATATTTCAATTGGAGAGGATAACAATAGATGAACAGGAAAAGACAAGGGTGTCTACAAAGCAGCAACACCACTGCTATGACCCTCTACTATACATACAAAATACAGGAAAAGAAAGTCTTTATCTCTCTAAAGCTGTGACCATGGCAACCAAGTCTCAGGAACAGACAAGAGTGGAGTATTTCACTCTCCTGGGCAGCTTTGGACCACAAGATGTGACTGGCTAGAGACTGCTACAACATCTTATTCTTCCTCTGGACCAAGTACTACAAATTGTGTCTCTTGGTGTTAGGGCTGTCCACACAGTTCTCTGACTTCTGCTCTTACTGAATGATGCATTTTTACTGGGGAGGTCATGCATATTATCCTGCCTCAAGACGAGGTATTCACTGACATCACGTGACCTGTCATATCATCAGGCTCCAGTGCTTTCTGTATGCTGTCACATCTAAAGTATTGAAAATCCTCAATATTACAGTGCTGCTGTGACCTAGTAACTCAGCTGAATCTTACAGCATAACAGTGATCTGTGAATGAGAAATTATTTCAGAATTTATTTTACTTAAAAAAAAAACACGTGGTCAAGAACATATTTTTTCTTTACTAGTAGCCAAAATAGAAAACTCATCTTTCAGAACAAGTATCAGCTGTAACAGTTGTTTTATTTTCTGTTAAGATCTTCCTCCAAAACAGTGGCCAAGCACTTTGCTTGAAAAAAAATTCACCTAATTGCTAGTGCTACCACTCTAACATGAAATGGTCCAGAACAGATGGAACAAACATTGCATTAACTAAGAATATATATTCTGACCAATATCAAGACAAAAGTAAATGCCATCTAGCAAACAGAAGTGAGACAGAACACAAAACCCAGTGTGTTAAAATCTAATAATATTTAAAAGTTTATTTTATATATAGAAATAGATTAATGATGGAGATGCCCTGTGACTACAGCACTCTGTACAGGAGCATATAGAGTGCCTTAGCAAATCCTCCTTACTGATTTTTGTATTTGAAAGATTTCTGTCAAGTTCAATTTTGTGTTATTGACACTCTTCAGAACACAGACTTTCAGAACAGCATTAGCAAACTACTGTCAGAATGTCCTTCAGCTGAAGAAAGCAATGAAGAACAACACAAAGAACAAAACTGAAATATAATACATAATGTATATCTACATATGTAGATAAAAGAGCAATTCCCAAATGCAGCCAGCCCTTATCTCAAGATTTCTGATGCAGGCCCAACAGCCTGAAATAAAGGACCCCTGTTCTCTCCCTGACTCCAACTAAACCACTCTAAACAGCAAAGGACAATAATCTTCTAACAGGAATTGTTAAGACACAGGAAATGTGCTAAACTGGGCTAAACAGAAGAAGCTGCCAGCTCTGAACTTGGAATATATGTGAACAGTTTCTGTCTATTCTTTTATTACAATCTAAAACAAGGAATGAGAATGACAATCTGTCTCTTAGGTGTCTGGACTGAAACCCTCCCTGGTATGAATTCTGACTGCACTGACTGTAGCAATGAGTTTTAATTTCCACTTTAAAAATTTTTTACAAAATCTCAATTCATTATTAATAATCAACTAAGAATGAAGATCAACTATCAACAGGATGGAGCACATCCTTTTAAACAGACATTCACACATGTACATTTATGTGCCTTAGTTATACTAGGTGAAGCAGATATGGAATTTATATGTATATGTGTACATATGAATATGAAGATACCTGACTCTTGTCTGTCTAACAGAGCATCCTTTGCTTTTAGTCCTGGGCAAAAGATGACATTGCTTTTTTTTTTTTTCCACCCTGAGAGACTTTTCCAAGCTCCACTACCTTTTATTATTCTACATCAATAAGTATTTACTGAACGATGACTCAAATTTAGAGAGCTATGAAATATTCAAGTACAAGCTACAGACTGACCTGAGGCTTACACATATAAAATATATGATGCAATAAAAAGAGTGGCAAAACATTAGTTAAGCTTTACTTAAGGCTGACAAATTAAAGCAAAAAAAAACCCAAAACCAAGCAAAAAAAATAATAAAAAAATAATTTATTTATCAGTTAGGCCACACTTAACCACTCAGATCTAACTCTGACCGATGACCTGAAGAGAAAAAGAAAATTATGAAAAGATAGGGAAAATGAAAAAGATACCAAAAGAGACTGTAAATCACTAGATTTTGCAAGGACAAAAAGGTCACAGGAGTGTAATTTTTGTTGCTTCTACAATTAGCTAGGCATAAATCCCAGTAACACAGTGACCAAATTTACTTCAATAGAGTAAAGTTCCATTAAAACTATACAACCTACTTCCTCACAGCCACCTGGTGAAATCTAAGCCTTAGCTTTCTAAACAGTTTAATCACTAATTAATTTATGAAATGAGAAAAGTTTTCAGACTTACTAAACGAAGGTCTAACTCAGAAAAAAGCATCCACACAAACAAACCAAAACAACCCCTCCAAGATTCTGCACCTCATGTGATACTTGCAGCTTACCAGAGGTTTAGAAGACGTATTATTGTTGGCACCAATTATAAAAAAAATTGTCAAAAATTGCATTCCCTGGGTGAATATGACAAATACAATGCAGCCAATGTAAGGATAAATGCATATTATGGTAATAGGACAAAAGCCTTATTAAGTGATGTTATTTTATCTTTAAACTCAAACTAAGCACGTTGTAAAAAAATAGAACAAGACTTGCAAGGCAAAAGAAAATAGCAGGAAATGAGTAGATGGTTCATTCTGCAAGGTTTATGAACTTCCAGGAATAAATTCATATTAAACTAGTGCTAATTGAAAAGCTAAATAGCTCTGATAAATGAAGATTGCTACCTCTGAGCAAGGGAGATTGCTATTTAAAATCTCCTCATTCTTTCCTCACTCTCAATACACATCAGATATAAGTGTGGCTTGGTAGACATGTTGCCATATGCTGTATACAGCAAGGAAAATCTATTGATCCTCTTATTACTACATCTTATCGTACTGATATTTACCTTTCTAAAAAAGCAAAGATACCAACTGGCCAGGAAAATGTAAAAGCAATACAGATAACAGCTAATTTCCTTATTGGAGTGGATTTCAAGTGCTGGCTATTGGAAGAAATATTCTGCACTTTAATTAGAATAAAATTTGTTATTGATTTTCATATTTGTCTTCTAGCACACAAGTTTGGAACATATCCTGTACACATGCTATATTAATATTCCAAATGTATGAACTGATCAATATTCATTGTCATGGAAAGATATTCCGCCATAATGGAAAGTTGCCGTACCCATATATTAAAATTTAGGCAAAATACATTAAACTACACAGACATTAGTTCATGGCTTCTGTATTGTTTTCTAGATCACTACCCACATGCAGGTGCAATAACATTTAAACTTAGAATAGAATAATTTTACTTCGTTCTATAAAGTAAAGGAATAAAAAGGATGGGATTTAATTTATTTTATTCTAGACCTGTAACAGCAGCAGGCAATTATCCTAGCTTTCCCCTTTCACCCCTCTTTTTTAGACTCCTCTTGTAGTCAGTGTGGAAAATATAGACTTAAATTCCACTTGAAGTCGACTACACTCCTGGTATTTAACATTTCAGCATAAACTATGCTCAAACACCTATTTATTTGCAACACATGCAGCCCATTGTACTCAGACAACTTTTCACTGACCATGTAATGTTGGCAATCTCATGAAAGAGGATATAACAAGTTGTACATGAAGTAGTACTGGCTTAGATTTTCATCTGTGAGACACTTTCTCCAAACTCACAAACTACAAAAATCTTACTATGAGAGGCTGCTAAGCTAAAAATATTTTTAAGTCCTCAGAATGCTTTTTGAAAAAGTTTGTCAGTCTCTGTCAATGGAAACTGGACAATGAACTGTTCTGCATAATGAAGTCTTCCATCTGCTTAAGAGGTCATCCTCTTAATTACCTGGTGAAGGGAGAGTTTTGGAGTTAAACTGGTACTAGGCCTCTAAACTTTTCTAAAGCCACCCGTCAGATTCAACAGAATTATTGCTGACTCTACAACAGTGTAAATACTGAAATATTCATAGAAATTCCTTAATCCACAGCCTGAAATTATAAACAGACTGGCTGTTTTCCCAGACGTCCATTAACTTTAGTACAGGAACACTGTTCAGGTTGGGTTTTTTAATCCTAAACAGTGATATACAGTCTGACACAAAAATCAGGTCCTCCACTGACTTTCAGTTAAAGAGGTAAAGCCTCAGTCATGAACCTAACTGCACAGTCAGGAGAAATAAAAACACTTTTTGACTATAGTAACGCCAAAAACTTAGTGTCTCCTCCCATAATGGAATCCAGCCACAAGGCTACTACTTAGATTTTATCCCATTTAACTGAGTCAGGGAACATGCTCACAGGTATAAGGCAAGTGGTACTATGTGTGGTTGCCTGTTTGGCCAACAGATGAAAATCATAATAAAAAGCTGCTGTGTTCCTGCAGAGGTTTGCCTGTGATGGTGTACACATCTTTCTTATACATCTGAACAATGCTTTGTCTGCCTGAGTGGCACTGAAGTATCTACATAGCTCTTGATCTAGGTCAGGCCAATTTCAAGGATCAACGCCATGACCTCTTGTGTTCTCCTGCAATACAGATGTAATTCAACATTAAAGCAAGTACAGTATATCTACTAGGCTTTCTCAGGTATTCACCCTACATGGCACCCTTTAGTCACAATTGCATAAGAAGAACAAAAACAAATTGGCTAATTGTTACTGTATAGCAATAACTGCATCTGTTCTTGTGTTCCAGCTATATTTAGAGGTCGTGATTGGGGAACTCATTCTTCCTTGTTGCTAGCAACAAAAGATACTGAAACAGCAACCTAAAAGCCACACTTTTAAGCATCTGCACCCTTTCTGAATATGCAATATACAGGAGCAGTGGCATCAATTTTGCTTCCTCTTTAATTTTGAAATCGGCAGCATTTTTATGACTAAAGGAGATAAAGTTCAGGAAACAGATGTGAAAGTTACGCAGGGAAAAATCCCCACCAAAAAACAACAAATAAAAGCAGCATAAAAAGTTTAGAGTACCCAAACTGAGAGCCTAGTATTAGTTTTGAAAATTTGACATTGTATTCTTTTCCTCAGCACCACAACTAAGCTAAATTCTAGGCAAAACCACCATATATTCACTCACCAACAAAAAGACCAAAGAATAGGAAAGTACAACACTACATACAATTGGACTGTCTCCTAAGGTCACACCTTCTCTTAAAGTTTTATTGTTGTTTTTGAGAAAAGATTAGTTTTAAAATCTCAAAATACAGTGCAAAAACAAAAGCTTCATAGGAGAACTTGATATTTTTTAATAGCTGGGGAAAAAAAACATCAGTGTAAACCCACAGTTTTTAACTGCCAGTAATTCTTAGTTCAGTTTAATTTTATTCTAAACCTTTTTATTTAAAGAAGCAACTCAGTACATTTGGGGAAAAAAAATACCAGAAGACATTTCCTATGTCAGCTTAATGTTATTAAAGAGCTTACTAACACAACAGGCTTGCAATTATGCTGCACTCATTTTGGCAAGTCCTTCATTAAATACAGGTATTTTGTGCTTTAAAATGAGGGACTCTTTGTCTAAAGCAAAAAGTCTAGACAGTGTAGTGTAATAACTTGCAAAGTAGATTGCGATCTCAGTGCTACAGAAGTAAAATTGTGTTTTGATACACTTTAAATATGCTGTGCATTTGAGTGGGTCTAGACTCATGATGCACTCTCTGCCTCTCGGGACACAGAGCTCTGAATCACTTGAAAACAGTATCTTACAATGTACCATTATAACTTCTAACAGTTCTGTCTATCAAAGTTCAAATAACTATATTTATTACCCATGTGAATCAGCATTACACTCTTAAATCATCTGGAAATCCAGTTTAACCTGAAACACTCAGCCTTAGTTTTCCAGACTACACAGTTGTGAGCTTAGAAATTATCTTCCACTATTAACTGATTAACAATTAAATCAAAAAGATTTCTCACATTATGATGTTGCTGAAGAAAGCAGAACTTTGTGCTCTAACTTGGAACTGTTCACACTGAAAATTTAATTCTTTTTTATAGCTAAGAGAATAAGTTTCATTTTTATTTACAGTTTCCAGAAATATTCTACTCAATTCACTGCCACGTCATCTAAACTTCTGATTGTTCTGATCTGACTTAAGCTATTCTCTTTTACTAGTAGCATGTCTTGAACCATAAGAAAAGTTTATTTCTTGCTTCTTTATATAAACATTTAAACACACTAATACCTTCAATGTGTTAGTATTACTGTTTTGGTCTTCTATAAATTACACTTGTGTAACACCTCATGAAAAACTGACAAACCTTCAGCGAAGTGAACAAAATATCCCTCTGCATTATTACCTGTTTCAATTTCCCAAACATAAACTGAATTGTCTTCACATCCAACAATTAGTAGATTTTCAACAGGGTCAAATTTTATCTTCTTCACAGGAAACAGATGTTTTCTGGCATGTAAGAGACATACTCTCTTCTGAAGGTGTAGAATTGCTACTGAGTGATCACTGCACACACAGCACACTATACTCTGGTCTTTTAACTGCAAAACAGAAAACTTCACTTTCATCCTTGTAACCACACTCATAACCACATCATTTTAACAAGCCTAGTAAAGTTGCCCAGTGATTTCTTTCCTAGATCATACACATTTTAGAAAATGATGTTTTATTTCAGTCAACATCTCCAATTTGTTTTTAACAGGCTAGCTGTACCACTGATCTCCTGACAGGAAAGCATACAATCTTCATCAATTTTTCAATATTTAAAAAAATAAAAATTAAATACTATTTGTTCACAATATTTAGCCAATCAAAGCAGTGATTATACAATCAAATATACAGTAGAAGTAATCCTAGAATAGAAAGTAGTAAAAAAGCTAGCTCAAACCAAACAGCTATTCATGCCATATAAAATTCTGTCTGGTCTTATGACACAAAAACCAAGGGCATTGCATTTCTAACCAAAAACTGGCTATGTTAGAAATTCATTTTACACTGTATGGATTTGATTCTGCAAAGCCTTCCCTCCCTGCTAGTAATTTTTTGTGACACACAAAAGAATTCACCTATGGAAAAAATCAGCTCTGTAAAGAGGACTGAAACACCACCCAAGCAGGCATTAAATCCTATCTAGTTTTCAGAAGAAGAGCTAAGAGAAATCTTACATGCAGTAAGAAATTTCGTTATCACAAACAATCTTTTGGACTACTTAATTTCACCATGTAAGTGAACTCTGAGTCAATCATTAATATCAAACATGTCTTCACAGGCTTCCTAAGCAGAAAAAAGTTGAAATTCCAGCCCCAGAGAATGCAAGGTTCATAAAAGCACATAGAGCATTCCATACAGTAAATCTTCACCTGAACGCTTAACTTCAAAATTCAATTAGAAAACAACTTATAATTATTTTAAATCTCATAAAATGCAAAACCATGCATGCAATGGATCAGAGAGATGTATAAAGCTTATACACACATACATATATATACACACATACACAGACAGAGACAGGTATATAGATTTACTTTTTCTTTTGAGACATGATTTATTACACTTTTACTTACTCTGTAGTTTTCTGGAGATCGCAAGAGCTTTGTCACTGGACCAGATTGCAGATTAAATTGGTATAAGATGCCTCCAGTAAATATATCCCAGCAGATCACAAGAGAATCCTGGCCCCCTGATAACAGCCAGCTTGGATCAAACCTTACTGATTTGTCATGTGGGTAAAGTAAACAAGTGATTCTGCTACTGTGACCACTCAGAACTTTATAAGGAAGATTCTCTGAAAGAAGATGGTACAAGAGTTATTTTTGTTCTTTCAGAATAGAGTTTTCATATTTCACAGCATATTTGCTGAAAGTCAGGATATTCAGAAGACAAAATACAACAATCCTTTACATGGGATCAAAGAATTTTGCACCTGCTCCTAAAAGGGAGGACAAAAGTCTACACTCTGAGTTTAATCTACTGAGCTGTACCCTTTATATTCCCTTTAGTGGAATGATCTTTTAGTGAGCAAATGACAAAGAAAACTACTGCCCATATCATGGCATGCCACATCTCTCACTTCCAGGTGACTATCCCCACAGCCATTCCCAGACTCAGAACAGTGGAAAGCACCTTGGTAGTACTAAACTGTGATCTGATAGATCAGTTACAGAGGAAGAAAGAGCATCATAATCTTCCATTTTCCTCATTTAATCCCTGACCTTCAGCCCTATTTTTCAGAGAATTTTTACAGGAATCACTGGAGGGGATACCAGAAATATGCAGTCTTCTGCGCTTGACTGAGATGAATCTGAACAAAATTGTTAAAACTTACCTTTAAGTGAAGGTATGTTTTCTAGAAGTCTTGCTCTTGCAGTTTTTAAACCTAATGTTACAAAAATTTTCCCATTTTCACATCCACACACGAGCTTATCAAGACCAGGTATGTACACAGAGGAACTGACAACTGCACTTTCAAGTCCATCTTCAGATGCACAAAGATGACCAATGATGCCTTCTGACATTGAATGATGTTTATCAAAATTATCCTGAAGAGTCCACATTGCTGTAATTGGGATCTCTAGAGGGTGGGGCAAGGGAGAGAATTATTTTTAACTTATGCTAAACAAAACAAAAATTCAAACAAAGCAAACTAAATATTTTCATTGCTTCCCCTAACTTATCCTTTCTGCAACTCAGGGATGGAAAGGCAGCACTTGCTATTCCTTCCAGCTACAGTCAATCATCACACAGTGAATGAATGAGCATCACTTTCTAGTGTGAAGAGATTTTAATAAGAATTCCAGTTTTCATGAAAACTGACCCAAAGACATAATGAAAAAAAATGGTAGCAAATTGCCAGACCTTTTGGTGAACCATCAGATGTAGACACAGGGACATCAGGAACATGCCACAAAGTGATCCTTCCTGAAGCTTCACCAGAAAAAAGAACCTTATAGAAAGGCTCTTTTCTTTCATTCATGAAGCCCATGACTAAAGGAAAACTCTGCCAAAAAGAACAGCAAATCACTTTTGTGATAGAAAAGAGCTGCTAAAAAATTGTAATCATTAATTGCAAATCCAAAGTACTTTTTTTCATCAAAAGCTGTAAAAAAAAAAAATCAGTTTTGAACCCTCACCTGCCACTATGTCCTGCTCAGACCAGGTCTACTCTGCCTGGTGCAAGACTCTTGGAGATCACCTCTGACTTGCCAGAGTCCTTGGCTAAACCTAAATCCCAAATGAAAAAGTGGAATGGGAGGTCCCCCCATCTTTACTGTCTCTAAATAAAGAGAATCTATCAATTGTATGACCAGCATCTAAAAAACTGGCAGCTTAAGCACCGAGATCAGGCTGAAAAAATGCAGTGAAACACTGATCATCTTTGCATAAAAACAAGTTCAGTAAAGTGTTGAGGAGTAAATACATTTGGAACAGGTGGCTCTCCTTCCAATCTACATCTCCTTCCTGCAGATTGAGATGGAGATTGCAATGCAGATTGAGCTCTGTGTAGGGAGCCTGAGACAAGAGGCTGTGAAGTACCAACCTTTGAGATGACAAAAGGGAATGGAGATGGGTGGTGCCAGCCAGGTGAACTGAGATGCAGCAGAAGCTGGGAATTGCTCACCTTTTGGATAACAAAGGAGATGAAGAGGGGTGTGCAAAGATGGGTGTGCCTCTAAGGAGAGGTAGATAGATGCAGAAACAGGACAGGACCACAAGACTCAAGAGCAACAGGAAGACTTGTGTGGGTAGACTGAGGGCATAAAAGCCCAGGGGCCTCGGAGCAGGGTCCCTCCTCAGAGGCACCAGCTCGGGCTGTTGCCATGTTATTGTGTTGTGAATAAACTGCTTTGTGGAACTTGATAATCAAGACTCTGCTGAGGGAAACTTTGGGCCAAGCTAGTAAGGAAACCTGGTCATATTGCAGGTGAGTGGGTGTACAGGGAGTCAAGCAGGGCACCCATCAGCTCACTGGAGCTGCCTGAGACTGGGAAGCTAAACAAAAGCTTCAGTTATCATAGCTTAAATGACTAAAAATAATGAAAGGTTTATGCTTTTACATATTTAGGTAATAGTCTAGCATTCAGTTGTGAGCTGCTGGAGCATGTCCAAAGAACAACAAAACTGGTGAAGGGTCTGAGCACAACACTGATGAAGAGCAGCTGAGGGAGGTAGGGATGTGTAGTCTGGAGAAAAGAAGGCTCAGGAGAGACCTTATCACTCTCTACAACTACCTCATATGTTGGATATATTTATTTACAACACTGAAGTTTGGGAATAAACTCCACAATAACGAATTGTGCTGTAATGTGCTTCAGTTTACAGTCAGAATGGAGATCAAAACAGATCATCAAATAGGGAGTTTTATTATCCCACAAGTCTGTCAAGAAATTATGCAAGTAATAATGCAAATATTAAAGCAGAAATATTAAAATAGAGCAAGTGACATTATCTTTTTAAAATCACACATTTGGGGGAAATGTAAGAACTTCCTACCACCACTGTAATCCTATTATTTGCTAAGCCATGTGTTTTGGCTATTTCTTTTCCCTCACCTTTCCCGACCTTTTGGCATCCTTCAGCAGTTATCCTATCTGATTTTAGATCAGAGCATTTGGGGGAAAAGCTGAATGGCTTATGCTATTTCCCTTCAAATGGAAATTAAATCTGCCAGGCTTTGCAAGAACATGTAACAACAATGCTTTCTGAGGATATATATTTGTCAACAAAAAGAACACTAGAAACCTCACACACAGGTATATTTTTAACAGTGTATCTAGTCAGGTACAAATAAAAATATGTTTCTATTGCATATCTTCAGAAACTGTTGAAAGACCTACTGGAGTTCTCATGCACATAGACACCAAACAATTTAATGCAACTTCAGGCTGAAATTAAATCCACATCTTCCAGCAATTCCAAGTTCATTAACAGTATTAGCAATAAGACTTAGCAATAAAACCAGAACCAAAGCTACACAGAATAATCTGTTATATTTGTTTTGGTTCATTTTTTGCCAAAGTAAGAACCCCTGCCACAAGTTTCCTCTCACCCACCCCACCAATTTCCTGATTATTCTCTCTAATTATAATCAATTTTCTACTTGGTAAATCAACTGGTTTTCCATATGTATTTCTTTGTGCTCACACAAAGCAGTACCAAAAAGTGAGTCAAGATGCATGTTTCCCAACATAGCTGAGTCCATTTGAGATACTTTGTCTACACAGTAACTTTTAAATTGTGACATGCTCTGCTAAACATGAATTCTCAAACAAAAGCAGAAAGATCACCTACTTTTTCAGCTTCCTCTTTTCTTAATATTAAAGGCTTCTTCAAGCAGAGACCATGGTTCTGCAGAGAGTCACGTGTGTCTAATTTTATGCACTGTGGGTGCTCAGGCTGCTCACAGTACAAGAGTCAGGCGATTATGCCTCAGAAGGCTCAAGACAAGAGTATTCTGGATAAAATGCTGCAGATTCAGATGCCTCTAATTTAGGATGTATACACATGGCAAGCAATCTCTTTATGTAATTACACTGAAACTTGCATACATTTCCTAATAAAACACTTGCTTAATAAGTAACTTCCTTATATTTTGCTTGTGAGTTGGCTTTTTTGTTGGTTTGTTGGGGTTCTTTTGGGTTTACAGTAGAGGGTTTTTTGTTGAGGTGTTGGTGGGGTGGGTTTTTTGTTTGTTTGTTTTTTCCTTAATTACTATTTTCTTTTTACAGATTTGAAAGCAAAAGTTTCTAAAGCTAAATTAGACCACATCTTTGCCTTAAAAACCTATTTTTTGCCGAAATTAGCAAAACAACCCCAACCACTTCGACAACTAGCCTATCTATAGTTGAAGACAAAGACATTTTTACCCAGTGAAAAAAAACCCTAAATATAGCCAGAATCAAAGACAAAATACAATATAAGCATCTTCAAGCTTGTAACAATTATAAAATGAAAGAATAAGTCCTAATCATTGTTTTCATAGACAGATTCAACAGTTTTACAGGAATCATTCAGGTTATTACAAACAGATAATAAATGAGCTTTCAAAGCTCTCTATAAACCTTCATGAATTTACCTTATTTTCCTTCATACCAGTAAAGCAGAGTAAATGAGGATAAACTGTTTCTTTCAGCAGCTTCCCATCAGCAGGGTATATGCTTTTAGAAAGCCCACTGCATAATTTAAATAAAAAAAATACAAGTTTTAGAAAGTCATCTCTTTTATAAAGCAGAACAGTAACGTCCAAGATTCACGAGTTCAATTAAAAGTTACCAAATAAGTAATTACAAGCGACTTTTTGAAATCACAGCACCAGCTGCCCAAGTTCTACATGGCTAATCTTATTCCTCTGTCCCCTGCTGTGTCAAACAAAGACTGAGGGCTGTCAAACTCAGGGTAAATCTTTGAGTGCCAAAGTGGTTTTGTTCTGGTTTTTGATCATTTGCAACATGCAGAGATTTTCCATAGTAACCCTCCCAAAGTTCATCTTGTACCTGAACTTTTTGTGTGAATTTCCCAACTGAGCCCACCTGTTTAGCAGCTGGTAGATGTAACTGTGGCCATCTTCTGTCCAGATGATCAGTCTGTAAGCTGCCAGCACTTCTCCACCAGCAAAGCACTGACCACTTTTACAGAACTCAGTACAAAGCAAGGAGAAATCACAATAATCATAGACCTAAGATCAGAAAAAACAATAAAATATAAACAAACAATATTAGCACATTCAGTTTAATTTAAGCTGGTTTGGGACAATGGGTCAGAAAGTAGAACTTTAGCTTGACTCTTTTGCATAAGTTCTTTTAAATCCAAAGCTGGTTTGATGCTAACAAACCACTACAAAGTCAGACTCAAATCATACATTTCAAAGTTAAAGAAATTGACAATTGAAAAAAAAAAAAGGACAAGTAGCATTAAAGCCTATGTTAGATTAGGGGTTTTGGATGGGATTTACTTAGGTTTTGCCTTGCACTCATTATTAATATTTGCTCCACTAGCAATTTCTTATAAAGAGGTAGGTAATGAATTTAGGACATAAGTATGACATTGAAGACTTCACTAGAAGCTATAAATGCTTCTGTCTGTATTCTTTAAAAGATGATCTACCGGTATAATCACAGCACAAACCTTAACAAAGCAGTTTTTTGTCTTTTCTTCTTTGGGAAGCAAGAGAGATTTATTTTTTTTCCAAATTAATTCAAAGCAAACAACATATAAAATTCCCTTTGCTTGCAAGAATTCTCTTTTCCATTTCTACAGCTGGTAAAAAATTATGGCTTGTTTGCTTCCTCTCACTTTGCCATTTTAAGTCAAAACAGGTTATGGCAAGGACAACCTAGGATATTGTCTGCTTGCTCACGTTCCTAGTGGCCTCATGGAGAGAGTATTCATAGTCACATTTTTATAATTTTTTCCAGCAGTGTGAGGAAATAGATCTCAGAATCAGAATTTTTCAATTACTAATAGTTCATTTCTAGTCATTAGCGAATTTGCTTTATATTTTATTACTAGAGAAGTGAGTTAATAAGCCACTCTAAACACATGTGAAAACCCTATCCATTCTATACATGAAATTAATCTATAAATGCTTTTGTACAGAAATTAAGTAGCCCAAGAGACATCTCTAGGGTACCCTACAATCACATTATTCCAAGCTAATTCAAATATATGTGAAATTTCTGCCCCAACCCTGTCCCAGCAGTGATATTTGGATCAGGTACATATGTTGCACTAATCACTCAGGATTATTTTAAGAGAAATTTCATAATATCAGGAAAAAGAACTACATAATTTTTACAATAAACTTCAGTTATGTAGTCACTGCAATATTTATTGGCTTATTTTAAGTTTTAGTTATTTTCTTACTGCTACAAGAAAAAGCAATATAGTGTGGGGTCTTTAGTTTTGCTGGCTTCTATCAAGAAACAAAAGGTCCATGGTTACTGAGGACTTGCCAAATGTGATTACTTCTGTCATACCTGAACAGGTTTTTTTCATCTTTGTTTGAAATGCACCACGGAGAGGACTATAGTGCACCCAGTGCTCTATAACTGACTAATACTTAAAGTAACTCCCTTACTATCCAGCCAATTTAAACTTTTAAAGCAGAAATATATTAATAAAGAATAAAAGCTTCATCTCATTCAGGCAGTTATGCAGAGAAGGATTACAGTGCACTGTTATATCTGACACTTTTTCTTTAAGCTAAGGAGGAAAACAAGTGTCTGCATGTAAAAACCATATTAGTTTTTTCAAAATTATTAACAAAACTAAAAAGAAAGTATACTGCTCAATAAAGTACCTGCCAGCACGTGGAGGACACAATTAGAAGGAGCCTTTCTGTGTAGGTACAAAATCGTACTGCTTGACAATTTATACACTCCAGAGATTTTGATTCCTTCTCGCACACACTTTGTCTCTCCTTTACAACACAGAGGAAAAGAGCCATAAGCTTTGTTCCAGATATCTGAGCTTTTACTTTTAGGATAGAAACAACCCACTCAAAATAACTTGCAGCTAACAGACTTTAAAAATTCGAAGCAACATATAATTCTTTAAAATGAGATAAAAATACCACAGGGTTCAAAGAAACCATGTCAAGAGAAAAAGTCAGCATGGCCCAGACCTTGATGTTGCTTAGAGAAGTCATAATGACCTCAAAGAAAGATTAAAGGCGGATCATAAATAGCATCTAACATAATGAATATCTGCTAAGTATTCTTCAGTCAAAACATAGCTACAACAACTTATAAACTGTCTGATTCAGAATGGTTGATGAATATTACACTTTCCCATTGATCCTTGTTGCAACCAGGACAGTCTGAGACGTATGGTGTTGCCATATGTCTTGTTTGAACTTCACACCTTTAAAAGGTAACTCATTTTCTTAGCTTTTCATTGCTGAATGTACAGGTTGTTTAAAAACAATATATGTATTTTCACACTTTTTGTCAAGGCCACCACGCTCAAAATTATTCTCTTGGAATTAATTTTATTAATTATGAATTAAAACATTTAAAACCAATGTTTTCTGTTTTGAAAGATAAAAATAATATCACAACCTCCCAAAGAAGAGTATGTATGCTAGTCTTGGAATCATGGCTATAAAATGGCAAACCATTTTCTTACTGTACCCTACAGCTTCAATTAATTCCAAATAAATCAAACAATATATATTAAAATAACGCCATTTAGAATATGAACTAGGGGCCTGATTCTACCCATGCTAAAGTAGTGCTGAGGCATGCTCTGCAGTTTTTGTTGAGCCAGGCAGTAACATGCTAAGGATGTTCAGAGAAGTTGATATTTTGCCATTTCTGTTCCATGGTGCTTAGCTGCAATACTGAATTCCCTTTGTGAATTTAGCTCTCAGAGTTTAATTCAAACACAAAACATTGTATTCCAGTTCTAACACTTGCTCATGTCAAGTGACAGCTGCTGAGAATATGAACACAGAAAAGAATAAGTGAGTTTGAAGATGGAGAAATAGGACACTTGACACAGCAAGAGTCTTTTCCACGTGAAGACAGCATTGTGGAAGGCAGACAGAGGAAAACAAAGTCTAAATGACCATTTTGAAGAAAGCAACAAGGGTGAAGAGGGAGTACAAAGGCCAATATTGAAGAGCTTTGAGTCTAAAGAACAGAGTGAAGGGGTTCAAAGGCATTATCAGGACAGCAGGAAAGCATTGCAACTTCGGCATCATGGAATATGAAAAGACAAGAAGCCTAGGCAAAAGACAGTGCAGTTATCAAGACAAGAGCTGCCCAATGGCCCAAGTGATTTTAAATAGTTCTATGAGGATTTGTTTTGAGAATTTTGTAACAAAAGCAATCAAATCTGTTTAATATATGTTCAGAATTTAAATTTATTCATATTCTTTTTCAGTGTAGCCTTTACTCGAGAATATTACTGCATTCATGTTATCCCTGTTTCACATCTCAAACTGACCTGTATGCTATTGAGAGATGAAGATAGGTCCCACACTCTCAGAACTCCAGTTACAGACACTGCAATCAAAGAGTCTTCTGTGAAAAGTTAACAGTGAGAGAGTCAACTTGAATCCAAGCTCACACAGTACCTAATGACTAAAGAGAAACTTGGCATAGATACTGCTGTACTATACACTGCTAAAACATGGGATCTGCATGACATTTCTCAGATGAAAATATCAGTTTTACACAAAAACTAACTATTTGGTATACAGAAATACAAAACAAGTAAGCAAACAGTGAATAATGTATTAACAGAAGTCAGAGAACTGTGGTTTAGTGCCTTTAATTTCCCAGATGCTATAAAACTAACTTGTACTGAAATCCAAGAAATGAGTTGCTTACAGCCAAGGTAGAGGCTGTTTGGTGGTTTTTTTTCCTCTAGTAAACATATTACATCAAACATGACCAACATGAAGAGTGCTAAAAACACTATGTGCTATTAATGAAATGCTAACTTCTTGTACATAACAACTCTGTAAAACATGATTGAGTATTAAATCAGGTAGGATCATACTATCTATACAGAAATATTTTATCACAATTTAACTGACCTACATAGATACATCTTAAATGCATACCTTGAATTCTTGCAGAGTGTACAATACACATACAATTTATCCAATCAGAAGACTGAGTCGATGATAGAGTGTGAAGAACATCCAAAGTCTTAGCATCAATAATAAGAACATCTTGATATTCCCCACAACAAAGCAGCCAGCCTTCACCTGTCATTCGGAATGAGCAATGGTAATACTGCACAAGTGGAAAGCAAAGAGTCAGCATATAGAACTACAGAAATGACATGCATATTTTTCACATTTAGCACATGATACTTGCAATTATAATCAACACTTGTAGCATTACTTAAAAACCTAAGGTATATATGAAACCATACACAACTTTGCTAGTGACACAAGCATGGGATAGAGCTTAGTAAGAGGTGCTTTGTACTGAAGGCAGTATCTACCCTGCCTAAATATTAGGATATTCCTAAGTTTTGGAAGGAGTAAGGTGTTAATTTTCATTAGAAATTGCTAAGGGGTTTGGGACTTGTTTCTCTGAGAGGCCTCACCTCTCACAAAACATTTGATAAAGCTCCAGTTATCAAGAGGTATATAAAGGAGAACAAACAGGTGAAAAGGCATAATATTCATAATTAATTTTTTCAGAATGAATTTTTGACAATTTTCCATGAAGGATTTCTACTTGAGATGTTCTTCATTTTGATGTTAGATGCCCTAGGGTTCATAAGGTTCATTCTTTTTCAACAACCATGTAAAGAAAAAAAACCAGACACATAGCAAAGGGTTAAGGAACAGAGATGACAGTGGTGCAGAATGACTACAAAATTTCCTTTTTATGTTACATATTTTATATGTGCAAGGACATTTGCATTGCATATCTATCTGTAATTGTATACATAATTGCTATGCATGCATAAACAGCCATCTCAAATGGAACTTACAATTAAATACTAAAATAAATGAAACAATCATGTAGCCAGACCAAACAAAACAAAAAACAAAAAAACAAACAAACAAACAAAAAAAGATAATCAGACCTACAAAACTTCATTTACTCTAAGTTATCTGTACAGTTTTGCTTATATAATGATTCTTGGTTAATCAGTTAACTAAAGTCTGAAAGCCAAAGGATAAATAACTGGAAATAGGATAAATATTACCACAGACATTGTGAATAAACAGAGGCAGAAATGCTTAGAATTTTCAATTACTATTACCTTTAAATTAAGATTGAACTAGAGAATTTGTATAGTGAGCTATTCCTCTGAGAAAATCCCGTACTGGTTAAGATCCACAAATGGTTAAGTGTTGACCCTGGTGTTAAATTTCATTTCAAATGGCAAATATTCATTTTGCACTACTTGACATCTGCCATTCATAGCTGAATCATCTACACTGAACAAAAGAAACCTACTAGATCAGATAGGTTAGCAGTTTAATTAAAACCTACTAAAGTATTAGCTAAAATAAAGTTACAATTTTAAATTATGATGCTATAGAAAACAGGGTGAACTAAACCTCACAGATAATAACATTCTGTAGAAAATAATTCTCTTAGGTACTACTATGGCACAAGCAACCATTCCCCATGGAACAACAACAAAAACCTACAGCAACACACACACAAAAAAAATCAATTTATTATAAATATCTCAAGGTTGCATTTTAAGAATAGTTTAACCTCCTAGAAACATCTATTCTTTTTCCCAGGAAAGTTTTCCTGTTAGATGTTCCAATTTTCCTTTAGCTATCTTGACCAGGTTATAAAACAAAATTCATTATCTAGTCACAATTAAGTTTAGCTCCCTTCAAATAGAGACAAAGCAACAATGTTCTGTAAATATTTGCTATTCCTACTTGAAGGGTAAGAAAAAAATATTCTGACTGATCTCCACAATAAATGTACAGATTGCCAGCTAATCAGCTAGGCCAGATTTTCCTAGTGCCCTGCAGAACTTGTCCATAAATTCAACTATCAAAATCTAATTAAGCAATAGCACAAAACAGATCATACTGCACCTCTTAAATGATAACTGAAGTATTGTTTTGTGTGTGCATATACATTCATTTAAACATATGCATATTTATGCTGTAAATATTCACAAATAAAGAATTACTTAATTTATGGTTTTATATACACACATATAAGTAAAAAAAATCATTAAAAAGTTAATCTGCTGTAATTTTTAATCGTAATTTCCCAAGCTTTTTCTCTTCCTTTTATAATGAACAACTGTGTTTGAACTCTTCATCTCAACCAAAACTGTCAGGAAAAATACTGTTTCTTCTGGAAGCTGCAAAAATTTTGGAATAAAAATTTGGCTGTAGTTTGGAGTCACGTGAGGTCTCAGACTTCAGTCATTTGGAGGCTTAGTTCCACCCTAGACTTCCTCACTGAAGAAAACCAGCATTTTAATTAACATAGGAGCCCTGAGCTCCTCTTCTACTAACATACCCAGAAATAAGCCATGTCTCTGAATCAAATCACACATATTGGGCCTCTCAATCATATACACACACGTGTTTCAAAACAATCCCACTCTCTAGATACTCATTGTACAGGGATACAGTTCAAAGCAGACACCTGAAATTATCTGAAGGAATATTTAAAGCAATTTGGCCACAGAAAATAAGGGATATATCCCAAGTTCTGCAATGAATTAAAATGTATTTTTGAAAGTAGGGGGCAGAGCATTCTTTCTGAGGTCAGGACTTAGGCATCAAAACCTTTCAATAGTTTAAAAATAAGTCTTTCAGCAGCCTGTCTCACAATGTTTGGCTAGATTACTTGTACATCTAAAATACAACATGAAAAAGCCAACAACAAACATGAAGTTTTCATGAAATTTTAACACAGGACAAGAGTAAAGATTAAGACCATTTCACTTTGCTATTTGATGCCCAGACTTTACAATAAGTTAGTTGGTACTGCATTCCAAACCGTTGCAGCTTAAAAATAATGCTTGATTTGATTCAGGAATTCAGAATTGTTTTCTTAGCATAAAGTTAACATAGGAAAAATAAGATATAAAATTACTTATATTGTGACAGGGGTTTTTCCACTTATATTATGTGCTGTACATTTAAAACTGTATGTGTCTGAAAAACTAATGTGTTAATAAAGCAAAATTCCTCCTGTAATGAACAGAGATATTCCATAAAAAGTTGCTATACTTACATGGATTGCTGTATGCCTATAAGGAAGCTTTGTGTTCTCAATGCACTGTCCACTAGTGACATTCCAAACACACATCTCCCTGCCAAAGATAACTTCATATTATTCTCTGTCATTTCCACTCAATTGGCTGGAATAATTTTGTGCCACCAAGTTTTTCTTTAGTGCTGTACTTAAGTGCAGTCTGGTCATTTATGAGGCTTTTTGTTACAGATTACTGGGTAAGAAAATGTTGTAGTCATTAGCAGGGGATGACATACAGTATCTGTTTCTTTTTGCTTTGGTAATTACACCCTGCTGCCTTGCAACAAACCTGACTTTAAGGCTAACTCTGGTCTACAACAAATTGTAGGTATACTGCCATTACGGCTCGTCAACGCATCACTGTAACTATCTGTCATTGGAACTACATCCTCCTGAAAATGATTCATTTCACTGAACTTAAACCACATGTTTTGAAAAGCATCATGCATCTTCCGTCGCATCAGACTTCGGTTCTTCACTTCTGTTAAGAAGAAACAGTGCCATCACGAGGCTGCTCCTGAAATCTGCTATTGATACACCACTTGCTGCTTGACAACCTGAGTACCTGTGCGACACTCTAGCTACACTTAGTTACATTTAAGGTTGATGTTTGAGAAAGACATTTTAGCCCTTCTTCCTTATCTACACATTATTCGACATGTAATGGGACTAGAGTACAAGAGACACAATCAAATTAAATGCTGTGAGGTTGTATGAGGTATGTTACCATAGTTCTGCAGCTGCATGTAAACTTCAATGCTTTTAGATTTTATTTAAGCAACAAACATTATTTCTGACATTACATTATAAGACATTTTCTGTATGAAGTCTTAAATAACACATTGGAAAATTATTTTGTGTGTCAGAAATACTACTCAGTGATTTACACTGAAATCTGCATACTTTCACATTTTATGGTAATCTAAAAATATTGCTTAATTTATATTTTACATGTGAGCACTAGGAGAGAAATCTATACATGTGTAGCACAGCATCAGAGCTAGCAGGTCCAAAGTCTTAACTTGAACAAAATGATTACATTGTTTGTTAAATATTTCAAGGCAATGATTTCCCCTTGTTTACATGAGAATGACAATTCACTGCTTTAGATACATTACTGTCATACATACACACAAACATGCACAAATGAGATCAGAATCTAACTTCAGCTTCTGGATGTTGTACTTAATTTACTGTGTACTAACAAAGAATGAGTAATATCACACATTGATAAACCTGTCCTTCAGCATATGCTAATATGCATGCACAGGACATCAGTGAAAACTTCTGAATCATTACAATTTTATAAACTTCCAGGTTAAAAGTACAAAAATACTGTTCAATGCTCATTCTTCTAAGATAAGGCAGTTATATAAACTCTTATAAGATCTTGAAATGAGACAGCAAAGAGTATCATCCTCCATACAATTTCTTCCAACCTCACTACAAGGAGATGGAAGCTTGAAAATGGCAGAAGTGAAATATTCACAAGTCAGAAAATGCAATTCAACAAACCCTCCATCTCCTCAAGATGAGGCTTCCTATTTGTAATTATCTCAACTTCATGTTGCAGCCTTCCAGGGATCAGTGATGGATGCTTTGCCCTTATGTAATACAGATGAGAAGTCAACAATAATTTAGTAAAAGTGAACATTTAAAAGGGCTAAAAGACAATACAATCCTACCTACACACATTCCAAACAAGTCCAGTGTTCCCTTCAGAGGCAGAATCCTTAGGATGTGAACATCTCTGTATGGCATATCTATAGCCATCTATATCTATGTTTCTTAACACTTTCCCCCCTAGTTTTTTGGAAAAACAGTGTCTTCGCTCCCAGTATCATCTGGAAACAGTACTGTAATAACAGAACTTCAGAATTAAGATGAAAACCAGCTGCATCTCAGAACCCTTGAGTAGAACTGTAGAAAGTTAATGCAATTCTACAGTTCTGTAGAATTCTCACCCTCTTTTCTGCACATAACAACCAGAACTGTTTACCACTACCTGTCCAGTGAGGCAGTCTAATCTTTCAAAATTGAGTCTGAAACAGTTTTTTCAAGTTATCCCTTTCTTGTATGCTCATGATTGAATGAGAGAATCAGACAAAAATCCTAGAAGCTGGAGAGGATAAATAAGCTCCTCAGTGAGAAAGCAGTAGCCTTAAGGTGCTAGAAGGTGTCCTTGAAGAAGGACGATTGACAAGAACTCTTTATGGAAAAAGGCTTTAACAGAACTGCTTTGTTAATGGAAAAAGGTGAATGGAAAAAATGAGAGGAGAATATCCTTAAGCAGCAAGACAAAATTGTTTAGGAAAGCTCTTAAGCTGGCCCTCACTACTTTCAACAGCTGAAATCCTGAACAGATGGGCTTCATACCTCAGCTGAAAAGATTATCAAATATTCAGAGAGAAAAACAACCTTGAATGCTAACCTAGCAGAACTGCAGAAATTTTTTTGACTCAAGTGATGAGCCATATCACAAAACACACATAGGAGGAAAGCTGAAAGATGAGGAGCCTCTTAAAACGATAAACTCCTAAAAGAGCATGTCAGATTTAAAGGAAAACAAGGAACATACATGCCTTTTATTCTAGGGTGCTCCATATGTACTGACTGAGGAACCATAAACCAGATCAGAATAGATTAGCCTCTTCTGCTGGTTCAGTTCTCAAGACTGAGTTCAAGATGAAACAGAGAAAAGCACCATGATATTAAAATGCTTCTGAACTTGCTGATGCCCTCCAATAGACCATTATTCTCCCTTTCAATGGGGCCTACCTGACCCCTTTGAACAATTCCTTTTTTCTGTTTACTAACTGGTATCAAATCCTTCTGTTGTCCATGAGATGAGCTCTTAGTTGGACTATTTTATATAAGCAATACAGTCACTATCCTATGTAGCTGCTATCCTTTTCTATCATGGAAGTGGATTAAAAAACTTCTGCAAATGCATAACCTGACCTACATCTGACATACATTTCATGATGTAAGGAATGAATAATCAAATATTCAGTTACCTACCCATTTTCAGTAGCACTTACTACATATGGTTGTTTCTCAAACTCTCTTGCTTTTGCCAAACAAGTTACAGAAGCAGTATGGCCAAAGAGAATTTCTTTAGATGAAATCTAGGAGAATAATACAATGGTTTAACTCACACATAGCAATTTTTCTATAAACTAAAGATGTCCAAACCCAAGGGAATACTAGTAGATATTAATAATTGTCAACATGCTTTATTTTCTTATGTTCTTCAGACATGTTTCTGGAATGCACAATGATGTGGATGAATTATGCAGTTAACAAAGTACAGTTTTTGTATTCACTGCAGTCTAAAAACTGTACCTTCTGAAGAACACATGGAGAATTAAATGTTATAAAACAGGCAATGTGGGGAATATCTCTGGCCTTCATCCTACCGTAAAATAGGAACTATTTTGACTCTGCTCCATTCTCAGGAAAATAAATACGAAATAATCAAAGCAATAATTTGCATTTTGATTATACCAAAAATATAAATTTTATCATTTCATTTGCCTCTTCCATCTTTCTGCAGATTTTTCCATTATTGACCAGGTAAACAGCTCTGGCTTTATAAATAGATACTTTTCCCTTAAATGACAGGCCATGCTCAGCAATTGACTTACAAAAGAAAAAAAAAAGACTTCACAAAATAGGAGTCCTGATAATTGTATATATTTACTTGCTGCAGTTACTATGAACACACATTCTCAAATTATAATCCACATATCACGTTAATCTATGAATAATTTTCCAAAGTCCACAAATAACAGGTTGCTCATATATGCATTTCATTTTTGGCTTTGTGAGTTTCCTATAACAAATATCACACTACCTTTAGAAGCTCATCTAAATAAGTGCAAGTCTGGATAATCCCATTGTCAATAATAAAAGATAAAACTCCAGTTTGTCTATCTGGCAAACTGATGCACAGTGGACACAAACCTTTAATTCTGTTGAAAGATCCCAGAGACATATTTGTCCTTCTTGACTTCCTGTAACTATAGTCTGCTGGTCATCTGTAATCATAATGGCAGTGATACTGTGAGAGGGAGCTGTTTTCCCCCACACTGCCACGGCCGCTACCAAGGTCTTCATAGTCAGCACCTGAAAACAGAAACAAGACATTGTGACCCTAAATACCATGAAATGTAAGAAAAAACAACCTAATAAAAGGACAATTTAATGAACATCTGAACAGGGAAGCCATAAAATATTGCTGTAAGAAGCTGATGAGGCATTGAAACGTTTCATTGCTGTTGCAAACATCACACTTAGACTTTTGGAAACCAGTACAATCACAGTACTAAAACATCAGCAACAGGAACTGTGTGCTGCCCCACACATCCTGGTTTAGCTCTGAGGGGTTCATACCACTCTGTTGTCTTCTTCCTAATTCTGGTTGGTAGAGTATACCATGTCTCTGCTACTCCCTCCAACAGCAGTGCTCCTCATTCTTAGCATTTTCACAGGGCTTATAAAACAGAGACTGCCAAGTTAACAGTTCAATAAGCTAAATACCAAGTCTTGAAAATGCATTAGCTTGCATATCATGCAGTCATTTATACTTGTACCATGTTCAGTTAGTATAAAACATCATGAGGCAGCAGACAAATCAACAGAAACTACAAAAAGAACAAATCGAAAGAATTTGCTAATGTATAGATGATCTATTTGCAGACCTTTTAGTTATTCATGAGTGACACTAATTAATAAAAAGCTACTGCTACAGACAAAACACTGGTTATAAGAGAATTCATTTAGACTGAAATGTTATAGGAACATTTTGTACTTTTTCCTTTGTATTACAACTAAAGCAGAAGAGAAAGAAAGCAGAAGAGAGATGAACTTTCACGTTAATAGAACAAACAACTTTTTCTCTCTTGCTTCTTTGCTAACTTTTCTTTTGGATTAAGATATTTCAATGCACAAGTAATCTGAATGAAACCTTTGCTTCTAAGCACACCATTACTTCACTAGAAATATAGCATATCCACATACATGCACATATCCACATTTCATCTGACAGCATTTAGCTTTTTTAAGTCTGTTAGTGATATTGATGGTACCTAGAGCAAACTTCTTGAAATAAAGGCAACAGATATTTATCAGATTGTTCCTTTAAAAAAGGTAAAAACTGTTTCCACAAAGTCAAATATTGCCCAAGGCATATCTGAGCTGCATGTAGCTTATCAGCACGTGTCAAATTCCTCCAGCTCTGCCCACTCAAGCATGTCTGATTTGCAGTATTAACCCATAATTCAACTTGAAATCAAGTTTCTCAGTTCTACTCCTCATTTCTCCCTGCTTACAGCCTAATAAACTTTTATTTGTCATGTCCTTATGATCACACTACCAAAAAGTGCTCCCTTATTACTGAAAAACAGAAGGTTTCCTGTTCTTAGTTAAAATTATACCTGTTCCTCTCACCACTAACTTGTTACATCTCTACCATCCTGTCTCTAGTTCCATGAACACTTCTCACACTGAAACCACACCATGAACCTCTGTCAGCTTGGAAAATTATCCAAATTTTCACAGCTTCAAGGCCTTTGGCTGTATTGCTTTAACACCTTTGGATCATTCATGTAGTTTTTCAAGCTTAACTTGGAAAATGAAGAACACCACCTTTTATTCTACAGGAGCCAAGAGGTATTTAAAAGTCTAATCAAAAGCTTTAAGGGGCCAGAAAGCAGGAGGTCTGACCTTGACTGCCTTTCTAAGCACATATTAATGCAAGGTCTTTTCCTCATCACTTAGCTTTTTTGACTGGGATTGGTCACAAACTGAGTAGAATGAAAAAGGTCAGATTATACCATAAAGAAACAGTGCCATAACTTAACATATGCTTTCCCCATAGTGCCCTAACTCCAATATAGTAAGCATATGTTAACTCTGCCTCCTCTACTGACCTTAAAACAAAACAAAAAAAAATTGCTAGCTTCTCTTTTAGGCTCATCTCAGACCTCCAAATTATTGCCATGTAATTACTGCTTAACCTCAGGCACACATCCCTTCCCCGTGCTACATTATTGCAAGATAAAAATTAAAGAGTGACTTAGGTCTCAGGAGCTTGCACATGCACTTAGTGATCTGAAGTGAAAAATCTCCATTCTGTTTTGCCCCCACCAAAGTTTGCAGCACATGTTCCCTATTGGTCCTTGTGCTTTCAAGCAGTGTTTCCTCAAAAGCACAAAGGAAGCCTCACTGTAACAAGCATCCTGAACAGTATTAATTCTTAACTACAGTTGCAAGAATAACATTTCTTGATTAAGACAATACACCAATTTTTAAGTGAATTCAGAAATAAACAGTTCTTATAAATATCAACCTCCTTCAAATTAGGAACAGAACTCCCCCCAGAGACCTAATCTCAAACAGCTCACCTTATAAAATGCTGGTTGTGACAAACTTCCTTCTCACTAGTACAGCCCATAACAAAAACTACCAATTACAAGTTTATAGCTTATTTATAGAACAAAAAAGACTTTTACAATAAAATATCACTCTACAGGTAAGAGTCAACCTGCCAAAAAAAACTTTTATAAATTTATAGTCAAACTTATTTCATGTTTCCAATGCATCCCAAACTATCAACACAAGGTCAGTTTTCTCAAAAGTCCAGCTAAATCCAGCATCAATGCAGGCACACACAAAAAAGCAGTAAAGGGCTTACAGTCCTGAAAATATTAAGATATTAGCAGCATTTACCTGTATCGGATTAAGTAAATTCCACTCAGACACACCACTGTTGTAATGGAATTGTTAGGAAGTAAAATTTAGGCAAAGCCTGATAGATTTTCATGACAAATTCCTAAGGTTTGTTTCTTTCTAATTTGTCTCATTCTCCTGTTCCTGTCTTGTCTTTGGGTTTATCTGATATATTCTTTTCCTACCTGCATAAAAAAACTAAACTTCTATCAATATTTTTTTTTACACTTAGTAAAAGGTAGTTATTATCTTTTTAAGTACCTTTGTGGTCTACTGATCCACTACTTTCACAACTTTCTCAATTTACTTTCTGATGTAAACGTTGCACTCTCCTTAAGGATATTGTATATTATCTCTGGTAACCAGCAAAGATATAACCTTTCCTGAACTAAAAAATCATATTCACCAACTGTCCACAATGTATAGGAAGTCCATTTAAGAGTCATATATAAGAAAATATATTGTACTTGCAAAACACTTGATAAAAGTATCTGAAGTACGGAAAGGGAATGATCAAATAAGTTACACTAAAGACAGCAAGACAAGACAAAGTTAATACATTTGAAGTAATTAATAGCAGAAAGCAAAACAATGAAAGACTTATAAGCAGATTTTCTAAAAGAGAATTAAAAACTAGTTGATAGATAACGTATTGTACGAGAGAACTAATAACTGCCTCCCTTAAGATGCAGAGACTGCTCTTTGTGGCCCCAACAGCAAAAATATTTCTATGTTTTATTTAATATATCTGATCAGATAACAGGCAACCTGAGAAAAACTCTAGTAACCAACAATTCTATCCTATGTCCCAATTCCTCATGTTTTAATATATTCCACCAGAACTCACAGGATTCCACACCTTTTCCTCTACTTTGATTTTTGCAGCTCCATGCTCAAGACCCTCCCTGCCTACCACTGCACTTCCAGTTTAAGCTGTGATGGGACTTCCCTTAAGACCTGTCAGGCTACACCCTAATGGGCTGGAGGAGTCAGTGCTGAGTGACACCCACATCTCCCCTGGGATGTGAACGTGCTGCTTCTGCAGTCCAAGGGAGCACGAGACTGGGACCAGGAATCGATACAACCCATTTTAACTAGCAAGAACCACCTAGTAATACCTTGTTTGTATTTCTTGAACGAGTGACACAAGAAACACTTATTTCATTCCACACAATAATTCACCACAATCAGAAGGAGCACAGTAAGGGCAACACCATCTCCCAGCTGCTGATTACATCAAAGGTTTGCAGCACAAATTCAATTTTATGATGTTAATCTCAACCTGCCACTCAGAAATTTTCTCTGAGGGATATGATTTTTTCTCTGGATTTCATTTTAAGAATGATTTTCTTCTTCTACAATCAATAAAGATATGTTTTCATCAAAAGACTCTATCTTGGCAGAATTCAATTGGCCATCTCAAAACCTTTTGGTGACACAATATTAATTAAAATAGTTTATGTTGCACCTAAGCTGGAAAATAGGGCACTGAAAACATCAGCAACTCAGAACACTTGTGCTTTTCACACTGTCAGAAGGTGCAGTAAAATAATCTTCACCTCCTTGAAGTTTTACCCCATCAACTGTCATATTATTTTAAGCTCCCTAAAAAGGCATCACAAGATGCTCTTCTCCTAAGTACATAAATTAGAAATGTGTGCAAAAGTATAAATTCCCACTTTCTCTGACTGTCATTAAAGGCTTCAACAGCAATAATCAATGATATGGTAACAATTTAAATATATTAGACAACAATTAATGCATGAGTTAGGAAACTTGCTTTTAAATCACATATCAAGGACTCTGAAAACGAAGTTTATTTGAGAAAAGAAATACATTGTACAAGTGTCCATGGAGCCATAAAAGATGTCTTCCTTAAAAAAACAGACACATTTGTTGTTATTGTGTGAAATCTGATGTCTGAATGTCCTATCAACTACTAGAATAGTTATCTACAGGAAATCAAACATTGCTCAGGCACTATGCAGAACTACCTATCTGAGAGTTAAACTGCCAGTTCCAAAGCCTCAAGCACAAAAAAAGCATCACTTCAGTCATCTTCAGCAGAGTTACTCAAATCCAAATGGTGAAATGCTTCACTGCAGCAGAGCTTTAAACAGGTTTTAGGACATTCACCCATCAACTCTTACAGGAAAGCACATGACAGAAAGGGCCATCAGTTTCTGCAGAATGTAAGCTTTGATTTCTATGAAACTGCATCTTAGTTACTAAACGACAGTTCATACCCTTAGTTTTATAAATATTCAGTCATGCCTAGCTTTATTGAAAGTAACAGTTTTCCATGTGACGAAGTGCTCCTTCCTTATGGTAGCAAAGGGACAGCTCCTTACATTTTTTAATTATAAATTGTCTTTTGAGCAGACACA